CAGAATGTGTTCCTGTCTCCATTTGCCACTTGGCAGATCCTTGACACACTGCTGGGCCTGCCTCAGTTAGAGATACTGTGAAATTCTGCAGTTCTTTATTCTTGAAGCAAAAAGCCATTTATCCTTGTTATGATGTTCAGAAACTGTAGGAAGTATGCAGATATGTTTATTAGAATATTATCCCTGTCATCAAATGGGGGGTTTAATTGAGCTGTTCACATGGTGAAATCAATTGGGTGTGCATATATAAGCTATTCAGGCTTGTGTGATGCTTTGAATGAAGGATTATGATGTGCACTTGTGGATAACAACAGGCATGTAATGTGTAGCCAGGACTCAGATCAAATTTATAGAAACTATATGTCTATGTTTGCTGATAATTCTCCTAAACAAGTGGTGGTATAATACATGAAGGTGAATTCTACTGAAAGAAACCAAGAGCTTCCATTGTAGACCTTGTGTCTGTGCAAAGAGGAGCATTATGCTCTACTGCCTAGTGGCAGAAGATTATAGTGGAATACAGGTGACGTGGATGGATCTCTTGCACGGACGGATCTCCTCGGTTCAGCTTCCATCTCTTCTTGTCCCATTCCCCTATGTCCAATCTGTATCATAATATTATTTCTTGATGCATCTCTATTGTCTGTCATGGGGTTTCTAGGGAGAAATTCATGTTTTATTATAATAGGTTTTGCAGAATAATATGTATCTGATTAAGAATTTGGGTTTACAAGCTTAGATTTGATCTCTCTTTATATCAGTTCTCTCCAGTACACATATACATGTATGGGGTACACAGTGTTCCTTCTAGCAGCCCACAGGCTTTCTTTCTCATCATATCTCCATGCTAAAGACATCCAGGCAAACTGGGATTTCAGAATGGTTGCTGACATCTGGTCCAACATTAAGCAAATAAATGAGCTGAGAGCGGGAAGTGGCAGTGGGTTTCTTCTCACTAGTTGCCCCTTGATGATGTCACCTAAGCTTGAATAGGCTAGTCACATCCAGGAAAGCTATGCCATTGTTTAAATGGGGCGTGGGCTCTTCTTGTCTGCATGCTTTTAATGTTGAAGAACAGGAAGTCTGGACGGAGCTGGAAAAGTCTGAAGATTGCTGTTTATTCCTTCCTGCTCATTAACAATGTGGAGCGACACTTTCTATGCCAGCCTCAATGATCTCCCGACTCCTTGAAGCAAGACCTCCTGCTGGGAGGATGTCCGTTCTCAGAGTAGACTGGCTTGATCCCAGGAGAGTATAGATTCCAAGTGTCAGCCTTATTAAGATAGCTGCTCCACTGAGATCGGTTGCCAAAGTGTCCTTGAACTTTAGCCAAGCATCTTTTGGGGAACAATGGAACACAAGATTCTTTCCAGTTAGCATTCCCAGCTACCTCGGCTATACACACTGTTGGCTACTGAGTTTCAAAAACCATCAGATTTCTAGGAAAAAAGAATAGAATGGTTTCTATAATTAATATTGCAATTCCACAAATGAATCATTTAAACAAATGCCATTCACCACACGATACTAAGTTTCCACAGTTTTCTGCCTCAACAGAAGTTCATGTTGGTGCCCAGTCCTATAGATAGGTTTTCTTTGTTTCCCCATTACTTAGACCTCTTTATTCATAATTCCATTGGAGGCTGTTTCTTCCAAGAAATTGTCATTCAATAATATCGCCTGCCTTTGACTGAAAAAACATACTTCTACTATCTAGTAATGATTTCAGAGCAGTTTGTCCTTTAAAATCCTAAACATCTTCTTCAACCCAATTTAATGAAATGATGCCAAATAATATGTAATTATTTTATTTTGGTTATAGACCAGCATAAAACTAATAACAGTCACTCTAAAATAGAAATAAAAATTAAAAATCACATTGATAAAATAAAGTAAATAAAATTATTAACGTAAAATTACAAAGGACAGGAATCAAAACCTGAGAGAGACCTATAAAATTACAATCAGTTTTACAATCAGTAATCTAAATGCTACAGATAACTAAGATAACTATAAAAGGACATAAGTAATACTAGGATTTGTAAAACACTACAAGAATGTAAAGCTATGCAAACTTATATTAAGTCTAATACTTGCTGAAGCCCTGCTAGGCTTTGTTGGAATTATTAACATTATGATCAAACCAACTGCAGCAAAGAAATAGGGTTAGGGTTATAAATAATATATAATTGTGGTTGACAGTAGCTTTAAAGAAGTGGGAGGGGAAACAGGACCACAGACGAAGTGTGACAGTGTTGTTGTTTTTTAAGAAATCCTGAGACGGATTGGCCACTGAGAAAATAGATCCTAACTATAGAAATAATTAGGATTTCATGGCATTTAAAATAATTCACTGTGGAGGAAGGATCATATTTTCAGTATAGGCAGAATTGTAATGTAACATTTTGCTATGCAATTACCTAGCACTGATTTCTCTAATCTGGTAGCTTCCAGGTGCATTGGGATTGCAATTCCCAAGGTGGCCATGGGTCAAGCTGGGAATTCTAGAAGTTGAAAATCCAGAACATTTGAAAAATGCCAACTTTGGGAGTTGGACAGGTGACTTCACTTCTATTTATGATTTTTTTTTTCCTTATGTCTCTTAGAGGATGTAAACCTGACCCCAGGTGACCCACGTTGGATTGGAGCATGGTGGTTGGGCCTTCTCATTGCCTCTGGTTGTTTACTACTCAATTCCATTCCCTATTTCTTCTTCCCTCGATATATGTTTAAAGGGAAGGTAAGTCTCAAGTATTGGATTGAAAGATGAGCTTTCTAAATTGCCACTGTCAAAGAGCCCTGTTCATATATCATGTTATATAAGAGAAAAAAACAATTTACTTCCATTTTGCTAGGTGGGAAGTGATTAGTCCCTGTCCAGGATTAAGCATTTTTAAAAAACACAAACTCTTCCTTTTTCACTTGTCCTGAAACTCCCTCTGGTTATTTTATTTGGCATTTCACTTCTTCAGTTTCTTGATGTTCTTCTCCTTGATGAAGGTTCTGGGATGTTACCAAAGTTCTTATGAAGATAAATTCTAGGGAAGGAATAGTAGATTTTCAGGAGCAACTGTGTTCCTACTGAGTAAAGGTTTGCACCTTTAAAAGAAGCACCAAGAGCTTTTCTTGTTACAGTGATATGGGAGGATTCATAGCAATGCTGAAAATGATCCTGAATAAATAAAAGCTATTTGCGTTATGACACAGAAGTTTTTTTTCTTATTCTAGACAACCTATTTTTTTAATGCTGTGCAGGGGCATATGGCAAAACACTGAGTAGAGCCAAGACAAGAAATGCCTTAAAGTACCCTTTGGCCCCACTGACTTTGCCACACCCACCCACAAAAATGACGAAAACAGATATGGGAAATAACATAATCATTGCCAGATGAGCTTCAGATATTTTCAGTTCTGAAAATACCCCCCATATTGAAAATATGGCAGATGAGGAGGGAAATAAAATGATTAAAATAATATATTTTTAATAACACTGAAATGATAATAATCTCATATTGCAGACTTGTGATAGTGCTTCCATCTTTTCCATTCTTCTTCTTCAGGGCAGCAGGATGTTCCACTAGGGAAGCAGTTGTCAACTTTCCCAGCATCCTTCTCTGTAAACAACAGGGGCCCAAGCTGAAGATGGCTCCAGGGGCCTGGCTAGTCCAAACATGGGAAACCCATGGCCCTCCAAATATTGCTGGGTTTCAGTTCCTAGCACAGAGAAGAAGTCCTTGACTTCTGGAAAAAAAGTAACATGTAATCCACAAAAATAAATAGAATTGGGTCTCCTCTACCTATTAGATGTTTATTGGTTGTCCTGGTGCTATGGATTATAGAATAGTTCCCATTTTACCCAATGACATTCTCAGTCCTGATAGCTTGCTACCAAACACTGCAATCCCAGTCAAACAAAATATGTATTGTTTATTTATATAAAGCATGTTCCTGACCTACAGGCCAGCCTGAAGTGGCTAACAGTGGAACTAATAATAAAATAGGGAAAAAAGAATAAAAAAAGAATTTAATAAACTATCTAAATTCATAGACAAACATCTTGATATACATAATCAAAACAATAGGTCCAGAGATAATGAAAAGATAAAAATGATACCATATGTTAGCAACTAAAAAAAAAAAAAAAAACCACAGCAAAAATGCATGGCTACTCTGGCGTAAAGAATAAAAATTTGTTTTAAATTTTTTCTTAAGATGTAATAATGGATGTCTGGACAGGAAATTGCAGTGTTGGTATTGCCACTGAAAAGGCCCTAAGCCTAGTTGCCTTGAGCATGAAACTGAGCAAACTCAGGGAGGCAGTGAAGGACAGGAAGGCCTGGTGCGATATGGTTCATGGGGTCACGAAGAGTCAGACACAACTTAACAACTAAACAACAACAACAACTAGTTGCCTAGTTGATTCCAAGTGGGTTTCTTTGTGGGACTGCACCCATAAAAGGCCCTTGTCTGCCAAATGCAGCTCCTGGGAACAACCTACGGAAGAAGCTCTTCTTTCAGGTGGGAGGGGACAAAGCCATATAGGACTTTATAGGTAAAATCAACATTTTTATTTTGGCATTAAAGGCAACTGGAATTCAATACAGCTTATCCATATACTGGTATACAATAGCACCATGAGACACCCAGCGTAAGCCTGGTTGCTGCATTTTGGACATGCTGCAGTTTCTGTACCTCTTTTAAGGGCATCTACATACGCAATATGTTATAATAGTCTTAGTGAGATGTAATCAGTGTATGTATAATAGTAGTTAGGTCAGCCTTCAATCTGTCAATAGCAAATTATCCTCACATGGTGATAAGTGTTCCTAGCCCTTGCACTAACTTAAGCACTCAAGAACAGTGGAGGGTTTAAGATCACCCCCAAACTATATGTCTGACCACTAAGAAGAAGAATGCTCCCTTCTGGGACAGAAAAGACTTTCCCAACTGATTGAGATTTTCCATAACCATCATACTCTCAAAGTTGTCTGGATTCAGTTTCAGTCTATTACACTTCATCTAGACCTCAACCCAGTCCAGGCAGGAGCCCGTGAGGGAACCTGGTACATGATGAGCTAGGAAAAGAGAAGTAGACCTCGATGTCATTTGCAATAAAGCTGCACAGTCCCTGATGATTATTCTCAGTGGATTTATAAAGATGTTAAATGGCATGGGAGATAGAACTAAATCCTGCAGCACCCTACAGCCTAATGACCACAGAGTGTTCCAGATTACTGCCTGAAAGCTACTTATGTGGTAGGAACAGAACCATGACAAAACTACGCTCCCAATCCCCAATTCTCAAAGGCAATCTAAAAGGATACTGTGTTCAATAGTATCAAAAGCTGCCAAGATATCTAGGAACACGAGGAGCAAATTTCACCTATTGCACACCTTACCAAATCATCCATCAAGACTACCAAAGCCAGCTCTGTGTTATGGCCCAAACGGAAATCAGATTGAAACAGTCCTTGGAGTTATTCCATCACCACCTTCTCAACCACTGTAGCCATGAATGGAAGGTTTGAAACTGGCCTAACATTATCAGAAAGGAAGGGATCTAGTTCTGGTTTCTTTAGGAGGGGATGTCATATCATCTCCTTTGAGGCTC